CAAAAGAGAAGGCTGAGGGGGGATCTTGTGGCCTGTTATAAACTGGTTGGGGGGGATCAGCAGGCACTGGGGGAGTCCCTGTTCCCCCGAGCACTGCAAGGAGTGACCAGGAACAATGGTCACAAGCTGGCGGAGGGAAGGTTTAAGTTGGACATCAGGAGGTGCGACTTCACAGTCAGGGTGGCTAGAGTCTGGAACCAGCTTCCAAGTGAGGTGGTGCAGGCTCCCACCCTGGGGGTTTTTAAGAGGAGGCTAGATGTACACCTTACTGGGGTTGTTTGACCCCAGTGCTCTTTCCTGCCATGGCAGGGGGTCGGACTAGATGATCTGCTGAGGTCCCTTTCGACCCTAGAAACTGTGAAACTATGAAACTATGGACCAACGAGCGCCAGACACTGGTGACAACCCCGTCCACTTGTTTTAACTGATGTCGTCACGTGCTGGGTGCTGGCATCAGACGCCGATGACGCCGACACCCGGCAGGGACTGGCCCCATCGGGGCGCAACATTGGGCTGTCTCTGGGCCCCCACATCAGACCCAGAGGACTCTGAGATCGTGGCCACCGACTGACGATGGCCCCCAGCTACCAGCGGCACTGCCGTGTCAACGACGCGCATCAAATAGTGCCGGCGTGCGCTTCAGCTCCCGGGGGTGGGGCAGGGCCGGCTGCTGGTGTGCCCTCAGCGGGCCATGGAAAGGCGGGGAGTGCCCCCCCGAAGGGGGCGTGGGGCAGCTGGGGGTGACCCCCGGGACGGGGCGGGCCAGTTGGGGGTGTCCCCCAAGGGGCCGGCTGGGGGTGCCCCCCGGGGGGTGCAGGGCCAGCTGGAGGTGCTCCCCCAGGGGGAGTGCAGGGCCAGCTGGGGGTGCCCCCGCCAGGGGCTCTGGTGCCCCCTCCATCGGAGGGCAGGGCAAGCTGCTCCAGGTCCCTCACCCAGGCAAGGGCCCCTTGTGGGGGCAGTAGTTGGTGCCCTGCGTGGCAGGAAGTGGGCCCTGGGCCTCCGTGGCATGGGGCGGCCTGTCCCCTGGCGCTGCGCCAGGGTGCTCGGGTGTGGAAAGGCCCCGGGAGGCCAAGGAGGAGTTACATGTCAAGAACAGTATTGGAGCCACGAACACGTGGGGCAAACCTACGAGGGTCACGGCGAGGCCCAGGGCCCCTGCCCCGCTGCAGGCAGCAAGCCAAGCCAGGAGCACCCCTGGCCCTGGAGCGCCCACTGCCCCCCCCCCCCCCACCCTCCTCGACCGCACACCGACTCTGCTGCGGAGGCCGGGACATG